GGAGAAGCAGACTCCCTGCTGAGCAGGGAGCCTGATGTGAGACTCGATCCCGGGACTCCAGGATCATGACCTGAGCTGAAGGCAGTCGCTTAACCAACTGAGCCACCCAGGTGCCCCCCACCCCTTTTTAAAGATTTTATTTATTTATTTGACAGAGAGAGAAATCACGAGCAGGGGGAGCGGGAGAGGGAGAAGCAAGCTCCCTGCTGAGGAGGGAGCCCGGTGCAGGACTTGATCCCAGGACCCTGGGATCATGACCCGAGCTGAAGGCAGATGCTTAACCATCTGAGCCACCCAGGCGCCCCCTTTCTTTCTTGCTTGCTTGCTTTCTTTCTTTTCTTGGCTTAAAACAACAGAAATTGATTCTCTCATAGTTCTGGAGACTAGAAACCCCAAATCAAGGTGTTGGCAAGGTCCTTCCTGAAGCCCTGTGGGGATCTGTTCCATGCTCTCTCTGCCCCCCCACCCCCATGGCTGCCGGCAAGCCCCGAATTCCCTGGCCCGTGTGTGCATCACTCCAATCTCTGCCTCTGTCTTCAGAGGGCCTTCACCCAGTTCCTCTCCTCTGTGTTTTTTTGTCTCCTTTTCTGTCTCTTACAAGGACACTCATTTTTGGGTTTGAGGCCCACTCTAATTCAGGATAATCTCATCTCGAGTTCCTTACCTTCATTTCATAGGCAAAGACCCTCATTCCAAATAGAGCAAGGTTCCAGGTGGACATAGCTTTTGGGAGACCACTCTTTAACCCACTACAGAGAGCAGGAAGTCCTCTGCAGAGAGGGATGTCTCATTGTACTTCATTTGAATTAATTTAAATAGCTCAAAGTGGGTAGTGGCTACCATGTGGGACAGCACAGTTCTAGAAGTTATAGCAAGTTACAGAATATTTGTCCTGAAAGGGACTGGAAGCTGGCCAAACGCAAGCTCCTCCATAACAGATGACAAGTCCCGGGCCTGGTGATGCCACTGCCTTGTCCCAAGGCCCAGCAGATCCGGTGCTGCATCTGGAGCCAGAACCGAAGCTGGCGGAAGGACTTCGCACCTCGTCTTACACGTGGCATGTCTTGTGCTCCGGGCGACTGTAAACTCTATATTAGCGTCTCTTATTTTTTTCATACTCCTGCAAAGGGAAGTGTTTTTTGTTTTTTTGTTTTGTTTTCTCTTGTCTTTGTTTTGGGCACATTCTCTTAAAAATGAGAAGAATAAAGACCTTCTTAGAGGAGGTTCACATACTCAGGAGTGGGGCCCCGAGGGAGCGGGGATGGCCCCGCGGAGCCAGAGAGGCACCCGAGGCTCCATAAACCACGCTGTCGGTTCCCTCCAGGTGTGGTGAACTGGCTGCTTTCTTGCCGGCTCTGGACTCTCCCGGCCAGCATCAGTTACGCTTGCTACTTGGTGCACCCTATCCTCATCATGCTCTACAACGGGCTTCAAGAAACGCTGATTCACTACACTGACACCAACATGGTGAGTCCCTGCTCTTGGCTCTGGTGTGACTCTGCTGTCCCTTCTCTGCTGGAGCCACAAAGCCACTGGCTGGGGGAGTAGCGGGTTCTGTTGTTGTTGTGAGGAGCCTGTTGTCCTTTGTTTTGTTTGAGGGAGGGCTTCAGGATAATATCTTTCTTTGATTGTATTTTTTCTAGTTTTAACGTTCAGGGCACTCTGTCTTACAGATGCATTTCGTACAGCCAGGAATCTGGTAGTAAGATTGCATCATCCACTCTGCCCCTTTTTCTCTCCAGTTCTATCTTTTCTCTGGACACTGTTTGCTGACCTTCGTCATTGGGCTGGCCCTGACGCTGTGCATTGAGAAACCATGTCAGGAACTGAAGCGGCACCTGCTGGGACCAATGCCTGCAGGGCCATGAATGTTCTGGTAAAACCCGGAAGAATGGATGGTTTCATTCTGCTGATGATGAGCGAAAGCAGGCGTGGCCTCGTTTATGTAATGGATGTTTGTCCCCCTGGCAAGGGGTGTGAATCTGATTTTATGAATGTTTAAGATATACAACTTCTCTGTGCTTAATACAAGAAAGAGTTCTGAGTGTTTACTCTATAAAAGGGTTCTGTGATAGCCTACCTAGTAGCACAATAATCACCCTCTGATGTACCTTTTCAGAAAAAAAAAAACCAACAACAAAAAACAACCTGGATTTTTGGGGTCTCGTCCTCCATGTATTTTCTGTACCTATGATCATAGGAAAACTGAAAACCTAGCAAATTTAATGCAATTTGGGTTATAATGTTCACTTTTCTTGGTAAAATCACAGTGTATAGTTTTTCACATCGTAATTGTCTTTGTGTTATCATGATACCTTTGTAGACTTGTAACTTTATCCTGGCGCCTCAGGATTGTATGACCCACTGGCGTGCACAATTCATGAGTGCATTGTGACAGGCCTTCCAAACATTATCTATTTTACAGTGTGGTCCCTGTTAGGGGTTGAATGTGTCCACTGAAAAAGATACAAAGTCCAAATCCTCTAGTACTTTAGAATGTGACCTGTTTGGGGGTTAGGGTTTTACAGAGGTAATCAAGTTAAAGTGAGTTCATGGGGGGAGGTGGCCCTAATCCAGAATGACTGGTGTCCTTATAAAAAGGGGAAATCTGGACATAGAGACAGATCTGCACATATGGAAGAAGGGGTGAAAACGTACAGGAATAAGGCAGCCACCCACAAGCCAGGAAACACCAAGGATTGCCAGCAGACCCAGAAGCCAGAGGAGGTGAGGAAGGACTCTCCCCTGGAGCCCTCAGAGAGAGCACAGTCCTGCCGACACCCTGAGTTAGGCCTTCAGCCTTCCGGAACCGAGAGACGATACACATCTGTTGTGGTAAATCAGCCAGTGTGTGGTGCTTTGTTACAGCAACCCTAGCAAAGGAATACAGTCCCTCAACAAAACTCCCAGTGGAGAAGCAGGAGACCAGAGTGAATGGCTTCCAACCCAACCCCTCCGTTTGCAGCAGCAAGGCCTAGAAACGGAGAGATTTATAAGGCCAGGGTGTCCCAGTTGTAGGGCGTGTGTTCCTTCCTGGGTGTGTGATTTCACGTTAACCATCCCTACTCACATATGCTTGTCACTTATAACAACACTCTCATGTACTTGAGAATCAAAGGATTTATTAACACAGGGAGCTACAAGGAGCTAATTAGCACAGAATGCTCCCCACCTCTGTATGCACTATTTCTCTCCAAGTGGATCTGCTAGGAGGACAACTACGGGGGGCAGGGGTGGAGAGGGCTGCTAACCTCAAATCCTTCAAAGGGCAGTTGATAGCTAACCTTGTCTTTTTCCAGCTCATCTCGGGGGCCACACCTCCCAGAGGCCTGGTCTATTCTGCTGGCAGAATCTGCTGTGAGTGAGGAGACAAGTCCCCGCCTGGCATGTTTAGGATCTGTATTAGAATGCACCAAGTTGGATCTTTGGGCAACCCCAAAGTTCATGGAATTCTTGGGAGCCCCCTGACAGCTGATTTGGCACCTGACCCCTCTGACTTAGGCCTCAGAGAGGATCTTGAGGGTGGGTGGCATTTACGGGAGGAACACTGCAATCCGGACAGACGCCAGTGGGAAATGACTCGCCTGCCAACATTGCTGGGCAGTCAAATTGCCAAGTGCTTCTAGTTATGAGGCTAGAAACCTGGGGCCCACGGAAATAGCTTTCATAACTACCAGCGACATTGCTTTTGAAAGTTTTTTTTAATAAGAAAAAAATACCCTCTCCACTATTGCAATTTCATAAAATATAAAGTAGGGATAGAGAAATCCAATTTTGTTCTGGCTTTTGTTTCGATCTGGAATTCCCTAGGAGTTTAAGATTTATAGAATATGGGGACCTTCTTTGGATTCAGAAACAAACTGTAAAAAAGCATATGACATTTATGAGACAGTTGAAAATTTGAACACCACCTGGCTATTCGATGATATTAAGGACTTATTAATTTTTTAATGTGGTCATGTTTTGGTATTGTGGTCATTTTTTTTAATAGCCCTTATGTTTTTGATGCATACTGAAATATTTATGGACAAAATGATAAAATCTGGTATTTGCCTCAAAATAATATCAGGAGGAAGTGGGATAGACAAAACAAGGTTGGGCAGGTAGTGATCATTTTTGAAGCTGGGTGATGGGTATGTGGGACCTCATTGTACTGTTTTTTTCTATTTTTGTGTATAATAAACTCAATCAAATAATAATTATAAACTTGTGCAAATTTATAGAGGCAGCAACATCAGCCCAGAGTAAGCATCAATTGATGGGTCCCTCCTCTAATTCTCCCTAAATTCTGAAATCCATGTTTCATCCCCACATACCAGCCCATGGATAAAAATAGGTCATATTGACACCATAGTCACCCCCAGCAGATCTAAAGGAACTCCAGCTCTCCTTAAGTTCCTCCTGACTGGTCTTGGGAGAGTCCAAGAATGTCTTGCTTGCTTGTCTTGTAAACACCTGAACCCTCCTATCTCCTTTTTCTTTTTTTTAATTTTTTTAAAGACTTTATTTATTTATTTGAGAGAGAGAGAATGAGAGATAGAGAGCATGAGAGGGAAGAGGGTCAGAGGGAGAAGCAGACTCCCCGCCGAGCAGGGAGCCCGACGCGGGACTCGATCCCGGGACTCCAGGATCACCACCCGAGCTGAAGGCAGTCGCTTTAACCAACTGAGCCACCCAGGCGCCGGTCCTTTTTTTTTCTTTTTAAGATTTTATTTATTTATTTGACAGAGAGAGACACAGCGAGAGAGGGAACACAAGCAGGGGGAGTGGGAGAGGGAGAAGCAGGCTTCCCGCTGAGCAGGGACCCCGATGTGGGGCTTGATCCCAGGACCCTGGGATCATGACTTGAGCGGAAGGCAGATTAACTACTGAGCCACCCAGGCGCCCTCTAGCTCCTTTTTTAATGGTGCTGGCTCTCCTTAGAGCTGTGCCCTGCCCCCATCCTGCCCTCAGACTGCTGAGAGTTGCTGGTGGGGCCAGTGCCTCCTTCACCTGCTGGCCCCACTCCACTCTTCAAAGCCTGCCGCCTTCTCCTGACTTCTCTGGGCAGGAGGTGGGCTGCGCTGGTTGGGTACTCAGGCCACTGTGTCCATTCACAGCACAAATGGCACAAACAGATAAGTCCCCTCTGCCCCCCCTTGTGCCATCTGTGTTTTCTCATTCAGGCTTTGATGCAGTGCTGCTAAGTGCTCAGCATGTGTTTGTTTGTTTGTTTGTTTTAAAGATTTATTTATTTATTTATTTGACAGAGAGAGAGAAAGAGAGCACAAGTAGGCAGAATGGCAGGCAGAGGGAGAGGGAGAAGCAGGTTCTCCCCCGAGCAGGGAGCCCGATGCGGGGCTCGATCCGAGGACCTCAGGATCATGACCTGAGCCAAAGGCAGCCGCTTAACCGACTGAGCCACCCAGGCGCCCCGCTCAGCATGTTTTTATAGAAACTGCTCTTGCAGATTTTCCTTATTTTAATAGAGGTCTTCTCCCTTGGATATACTATGAGTCTATGGGCGCTGGGATGGAGGGTGATCGGAGTGACAACTTCTTCCTCTTTACATTTACACCATGTTCACCACTAGCCCTGACCTGGCACACAGCAGGTGTTCAATAAATGGCGGCTGAAATAGTGATGGAATCAACCCCTCCTTTTTTTAGGTGAATTCTTTTCCAAGAGCCTCCTCATGCATACAGGTAGGCACCTCTCAACCAGGTCTTAGATATGTTCAGGGTTTTTTTTTTTTCAGATTTTATTTATTTTACAGAGAGAGAGACAGCCAGAGAGGGAACACAAGCAGGGGGAGTGGAGAGGGAGAAGCAAGCTTCCCACAAAGCAGGGAGCCCCCCGCGGGGCTCAATTCCAGGACCCTGGGATCATGACCTAAGCCAAAGGCAGACGCTTAAGGACTGAGGTACCCAGGCGCCCCTAGATATGTTCAGTTTTATAAGAACCTTTCCCCCAAATGGCCCAACCAGACCCCCTTCCAGGGAAGGTCAAAGTTCAGATGCACCAGAGTACTTAAAAGGGTGAGAAACCCTTAGAACTATAGTTCCTAGGCCCCAACTGGGACTCAAAACAGTGCTGCGCTAATATACACTCAGAGGCAGCCATGTTTGTTGGTCTACCCACCTTCAAGTCCCCCCCCCGCCAACAAACTCTGACGTTCTAGCATCAAGGTACCCGGACAGAGGCAATGACTCATGCTCAGTAAAAGCCAGTTTTGTGCCCCTTGGTGCTTCTGCCAATGATTGGTCCAAACGTGGTCATGTGACCCAGCTCTGACCAATGAGACTAAGCAGAAGTGTGCCGGGGACTTCTGGGAAAGATTGTCTTTGCTGAGACCTGCGGGGACGGGGGCATGAAGCCGGAAGCCCCTCTTGTCCTCCCCTCCTTCAGTCTCGGGAGGGTGTGGTGCCGTTGGGAGTTGTGGCAGCATCCTGTAAAAGGGAAGGAGGCGAGGCCGACACACCGAGACTGCTGGAGGCGAGCGCTGCCTGGTACAGCTGAGGTTGAAGACACTATGCAACAACACGGTGTCTGGATCTGTGTGCTGAAGACTGCCGAACCCCAGCACGCAGATCTCGACTCTCCAGGTGGGAGACTGGAAGTTGCTTCTCGGAGGATTCTGACTGGCCTAAGATGAAACCCTTAAAAATATTGACATACGGGCGCCTGGGTGGCTCAGTTGGTTGGGCGACTGCCTTCGGCTCAGGTCATGATCCTGGAGTCCCGGGATCAAGTCCCGCATCGGGCTCCCTGCTGGGAGTCTGCTTCTCCCTCTGACCCTCTTCCCTCTCGTGCTCTCTATCTCTCATTCTCTCTCTCTCAAATAAATAAATAAAATCTTAAAAAAAAAGATATTGACATAAAAGCTCTC